GTCACACAAGTGGAATCAGATAGATGAAATCATGTGGTATGTTGTCTTTTGTGTGTAGCTTCTTTTCTTCAGCACAATGCATTTGAAATTAAGCCATGTCATATGCATCAAGAGCTCATTCCTTTTTAATGCTGAGTAGTGTTTCACTGTAGGGCTATCCCTCAATTTGCTTTTCCATTCACCTGTAGATGTACATTTGAGAATCTTCCCCACCTGTTTGGCCATTATAAATAAAAGCTGAAATAGAGTCACACACAGTTTTTATGTGTACACATGTCTTCATTTTTGTTGAGTAGATAACCAGAGTGGGATTTCTGGGCCACAGGGTAAGTGTGTGTTTCACTTTATGAGAAACTGACAAGCTGCTTCCACAGTGGTCCCATCACTTTGCGCTCTCAACAGAGTGTATCAGAGTTCTCACTGCTCTGCATCCTTACCAGCACTTGGCAGGGCCAGCCTAAGCAAAGTTAGCCATTCTAACAGGTGTGCAGGGCTACCTGTTTGTATTGAGAGGCATCCCCCACATATGCACAGTCACAGGAATACATATACTCCGTAGGGAGCCAGTACGCACAGCAAAGAGAAGAGGTCTGAGCAGAGGAGAGCGGGAGGGGCAGCTGGTTAGGGAGAAGGAAATTAAGGAGCATGGTCCACGGCTAAACTACAGAAGTATTTTAAAAAGAGGGAGTGATATGCTGGCCGAGTGTTGTTGAGTAGCTGCAGAAGATTGAAACTTGATGATTGGATTTGGAAAGACAGTGGTTGTTGACCTTGATAAGAGCGGTTTTAGGGTTGTGATGTGGTGAGACCCACGTGAGGGTGAGTGGGGAGGCGATGGACTTGAACACGAGGATAGCCTCCTCGTGTTCAAGGACAAGGTGGCAGAGTCTGTGGGCTGCTTCTCCAGTTTTCCCCTTTATTCTTATTAATAGAAATCTAATTTTATTTGGGATGGCAGTGTGCATAAGTTGAAAATACTACTGGAAAACTTTCTGGGAAAACTACACTGTAGATATGCTAGTGATGCCTGTCCAGTGGACGTCCAAGAAGACTCCTTAAAAGGGGAGGAGGCGTAGTTGGGAAGCGCCCACTTCGCCTTCACCATCCTCCTTCCTGTCTGCAGCCCCAGCTGCCACTCTGGAATCTCTAGTGAGGCTGACCTTGAGAGTGGAAGCTGGCACCAGGAAAGGCAGAGAAGAAAGACAGGAGTAATTTAGATCCGGGTAGTTCTATGGAGCTGCCAGATTAGCTCAGTCTGCCGCCTCCAGATTGCTTCTCCTTGAACCCGGATGTGTTAAGCCGATACATTTAAGTCAGTTAGCAGTTGAATATATTTCCTAAATGATATAGATGGTAAGCCTCAGAATGAATACATCAATTTTCTCTAATTAATCTATAAATTTGATTCCCCAATGAATAGCAAAATAATTTGTTTTGGAATTAGATAAGCTGATGTTAAAATTCACATAGAAAAAGAAAAAAATATAGCTCAAAAAATTCCAAAACAGAGGTGCATCGGGGAGATGAGTGCTATAGTTATATTTTAAAACTGTAATAAATAAAACAGTGTGGTACTAGTGCATGAATAATTAATCCGATCAATGAAACAGAAGGTAGAATCCAAAAATAGAACCGGATACATAAGGAAATTTAGAGTAATGTGAAGAGGCTTTCTCAGATATTCTTAAATTCGTGGGAAAGAAGGTGGACCATTCAACAGCGTTGGAATAATAAAGTAGACCCTGAGAAAATTACTGTTGAATCCAAAAGTGGGATATTAGTAGGCATCTTAAATTAGAGTATATTCCAAACGGGTCAAAAATTTAAAGGTGAACAAAAAATGATCTGTATAGTAACTAGAAAAATGAAAACATGGAAGAATTGTTTATAGTCTCAGAGTGGGAAAGTCCTTTCTAACTATGACAAGAAAGAAAAACATGCCAAGAAATAAAACTCTGTTAAGCTGGACTACATAAGACAATTTTAAAAATTCTACATGGCAAAACCTACCATAAGTAAAGCCAAACAACAAATAATAAACTGGAGGAAATGTTTGCGACTCTGACCTCAGACTAAGGTCAATTTCTCTAAAATATAAAGAGCTCCTACAAAATAAGACCAAAAACTCAAAAGAAAAATGGGCCAAGCCTGTGAAGAAGCAATTCACAGAAAAGGAAATGCAAATAGCTCTTAAATGTGAATAGACGTTTATCTTTACTGAATTTAAGAGAAATGCAGACTGAGACTTCCCTGAGATCCCACTTTCTGCTAGTGGATAGCTGAAGAGCAGAGGTCAGGAGACCCTCTGCTGTCAAGGGCTTGTGCCGACAGGAGTCCTCACCTTTGCTGTGGAGAGTTGAGCTGGGTGGAACCATGTGAGGAGCTTTACCAGAAGCTCTCCCTCATGTATGAACATCACTCCGTGGTGTGCCCACCACATTTGCACAGATTGATTACTTATTTGATCCCACATTTGTGTTGAGAGACAAGAGATTACATCTTTCTTTTCCAGATGAGATGAAGGCCCGGGGAACTGGAGGCAGTTTTCAGGTGACAAGCCAGAAATGAATTCAGGCCTTGTTACACACAAGCAAGTGCTCCTCCCCCTCAGCCCATCTTCCTCTCCCCCTCCCTCTCTGCCTTCCTTCCTTCTTTCCTGCTTCCCTTCTGCAAATAAAATACTGAAAGCCTGATCTGTGCACAGGAAAGTATGAATTAGCCCCTGCCCTCAGGCTTGTAAGTGGTTTCACATGCATCTGAAACCTGAGGGACCAGGCCAGTGCAGACAGTGGGTGCCTCTGACCAGGGGTGGGGAGAAGATTGCAGAGGTGTTTGCAACTGCTCTTTCCCTGGACATCTGAGACTCAGGCTGCCTCCCCACCTACCAAAGGGAAAAGCTGTGCAGAGAAACAGACCCATGAACAGATGGGTCCAGAAGGCCCTGGAACCTGAGCAGTTCAGTCCAGGGAAAGGCTTGATACTGAGACCCCGGTCCTAGTCCTGGTCTGCTGTTACTGAGATGTTAGAGGCCCACTCTGGCCCCCGGTGTTCTGGGGGAAGCTCTTCTCCAAAGAAGAGTGAGGCTGAATAAATTGTTTGTGAGGAGACAGTAGGGCTTGACAACCAGCGAACAAAGAACCTCTCATTGGAAGTGGAGGGTGGAAGGACAGGGAATGGGAAACCTGAGACCTGCCAGGCCTGCACAGAAGCCAGAAAGGGACACATCTGTCACTCCAGGGTGAGAGGAGCCTGGCCAGAGAAGGTGGGAGATGGGAGAACTCACAGGCAGGATGTGTGTGTGTGTGTGTGTGTGTGTGTGTGTGTGTGTGTGTGTGTGTGTGTGTGGTTAGGAGTGAAGACCTAAGAGGATAATTTTCATTCAGCCAGTACTTATCCATCACTTTGTAAGTATTGAGTCCTGTATCAGGCACTTTCCTATCTTCTACTGAGTAAGACCAGCTTCCTTCAGTTATTCTATTCTCAAAATTTTTATGGTCCTAAACCCATGCTTTCCATAATTCAGATTTGGGGTCTCACTTCATCAAGTCAGACTACTGGCCAGATTTCAAAGGCTTGGGCCTCCTATTCTCTCACTTTGAAAACTACTTTCTAAAGAAAGTATTGATCTATTGTTTATTCATTAGTACATTAACAAATGTGATGTTGTGTGTGTGTGTGTGTGTGCATGCACCTATAAATGAGTTTCATCAGGGTGAGTGTGAGGGAATGGGTAGAAGATGGACTTCGCTCTTGAGGAACTCACAGTCTGGTTTGAAAGGCCAGACATTTGCACAGTTAATTATCAGCCAAGGCAGCAAACAGTAAGCCCCAAAGGCCTGTGAGGCTGGGAGGGGCAGTGGGGGACCCTTGCATCATTGTCTTAACTCCCCATGATGGAGGCCACCCAAGCTGTAGACCTCTCAAGGGCCAAGAATTACACTTGACCAGAGTCATTTCTGCATCCTACAGCTGGGCTCCTACCTGGAGTCTCCCTGTGGGCTTGTCACCTCTCCCTGCTTTCTTATATACTCCCTCCTGGGCACTTGATGGCTCTCGGTAAATACTGGCCAGATGACCGGCCAGAGGTGAGGTAAGGGACCCCCAAGCCCTGGAGTGTGGGGGAGCTCAGCCTCAGAGTGAAAGGGACCCTGTTAGTGGTTCTGAGTAAGCTAGCCCTGACACAGACATCCATTCACATCCTCTGCCCCTGGCTGATCATGCCTGGTCGGTGCCCGGACACTTGAGTGACAGATTTCTCAGTTTCCAAGGGAAGCAGATTCTAATTTCAATGTGAGAACGTGCCTCCTTTCAATAAGTCAATATCTGTCTTCCTGAATCTACCAACAGTTGGCTCTTGTTCTGTATTCTGGAGTCTCACAGAGAAAAAAAGAAACACTACTCTCCCTCCCAAGACATCTAGTGGAGGAACTTTCAAAGCAAGAAACGCTCAGTCCTCAGGGCTGACTCCAGTTTCCTTTCTCGACTGACAGCAGGGCCCACACCCTGTCTGTTCTGAACGCATCTCTGTCCAAGAGCTTTCTCTCACCCCAACAGGTGGAATCACACCAGCCCCACACCCCAATCTGCTTCTTCCCTTGGAAGTAGCTGGCAGTGGGGACAGGGGACATCTGCAGGTGGCAGGGAAGACTTTGGTGTTGCAGGGCCTACACAGGAAGATTTTTGGCTCACTCTGCCCTTGACTGATGAACAGACATGAATCTCATTCTGCAGGTTCTCTGAGAAACGAGCATTCTCAGGAAAGCAGGCGTTGACAACGAGGCGAGCCGGGAGCTTGTGCCAAGCATATGGTGCCTCCTCCATCCCTTCTGGCATCACACCCCTCTGGCGGCTGGAGAGAGATTGGCCCCCGGTCCTGCTGTCTGCAGCCTGCCCACTTCCATCTTCCAAGGAGCCCAGTGCCCCAGAGGCAGGGGGAGTGAGCAGGGACTCAAGGGCATGAGGAAGGACAAGGAAAGCTTTTCTCTGCTCTTCCCTTTCAGGATGAGGTCCAGGCTGCCTCTCTACACGTGGGTGTTGGGAAGAAAGGGAGCATGTTGGCCAAGTGCATGGGGGCTCAGCAGGAAGGGAGCTCCAAGATGGTAAGATGCTGCCAGAAATCCTTGTTATCTTCCCACACAAGCCCCTCTTTCTCCTCTGAGCTGCCAGCCAGCCCCCTGCCTACTCTCTCCTCATTCCCACCCTCACATGCCCCCCCCCGCACCTCTCCGTAGACCAGAAAAGATGTTGCGGGGCTGGATGCATATTCATATTGGAATGAATGCCATAGCAACTCAAAGGCAATGGAAACAGTTTCATGACAGAGGCTCTAGGAAGCACACCATCCTGAGAGTGTGTGACCCTCAGGGATGGAGGTTCCACTGAGCCCAAGGCAGGAACCTGGTGAGACATGCTTGGAGGGGTGTTCCAACTAGGGTAAAACTGAAGGCATTAGAACTAACAATATTAGCAGATTTGGAGGTTTTCACTCCATTCCTGCTTCTGAATTATTGTGTGCTCTTGGAAAATGTCCCCTGTTCTCTGAGGTGGAAGGCAGGGAGGGTAGTAGCACTTGGATGTAAGATGGACAGTGTTTTGCATCTCTAAGGGGGATGCCAGGAACCTTAGGTGGTGTGAACGTCAACGCTGGTTTTGGCCTTTGAGGCAGGCATCCTGCTTGGTATTTACTAGTGAACAGAAACCTGGCTTAGGAGTCTAGAGACCTGGGCTTCCGACCTGACTTGCCTCTGAAGTCAGACAGCTTGGGTTTGCACCTGCTGCTGTGACTTCCCATATAGCCTCTATTAATCCCTCTGGGCCATCAGTGAAATGCAGGATAACAGCACCTGTCTTAGGAGGCGGGACAGGGCGCAAGGGAGAGGGATCTAATCAAGACCCCACCATTTACTAGTGGTGTGACTTTGGACAAATACCTTCATCTCTCTGTGGTTTGGTTCCTGCTCTTAAACATAGAGATAATGGTAGGACCTACCCCATCGAGCAGTTGTGAGGATAAATGAGATAATACAAGTAAAGGCCTTAGGACAGCACCAGGTCTATTGGAGGTGTTTGATCAATGTTAGCCATGAAGAGTAACTTCAAGGGCTGTGTGAGGGTTCAGTGCACATAAGAAGCACTCAATGATTAATAGTTGTTAGTAGTAGTAGTGTAGCTCTACGACTTGGGAGAAGCCTCTGGGCCTTCAATTCCCCATCTATAACATGGGAACAGTATCTCCCACCCCTGCCTTTATCTCAAGCACAAGTTAAATGTATATCCACCCATAAATGTGCACATGCTTTTGGGGAACACAATCCCAGAAATACAAGACATTTCCACAAATATACATCTGCCCTCTACACAAATTAACAGTGAGTCTCTCAAACCTATTTAAGTAAGAATTTTTATTCTGCCTCCACCAGAGGAATTCGAAAAAGAAGGGAGAGTGAGACAGTTCTCATCATGCTAAGAGTTCCTCACCATCTGGAACGAATCAAGCGTTAATTAAGAACAAGGAAGGAACGGCTGGAGGGAGAGCTAGGGTCCAAGTGGAGAATACCCACAAGGCTTCTGTGCTTTGGGAATGCCTGGGCCGTGAAGTCCTCTTCTCCCCCAGAAATCCTCTGTCCACAAGGCAGAGTGGCTCCTGGGGTGATGGGGCCTGTCAGTGTCCTGCGATGCCCCCAAAGCTGTCCCTGGCAACTTCACTGAGCAGCCATCTGATGCTCCTGCTCTTGGAGCAGCAGTATCAGAAGTATTTGGGGCTTGTTAAACATGCATATTCTCTTGCCCCTTTGCTAGACCTGCTGAAGAAGAAACTCCTGGGGTGGGACCAGCAAGCCTTCCAGAACATTCCGATGCACCACTGAAGTTTGAGAACTTTTGGCCTATACCAAGGAATGCTCATGAAAATCTTCAGAATTGTAAAATGGGACAACACTACCATCTGGTCTCCAATGTACAGAAAGCTTGAGTTTTGGTGTTTTGGGTAAATAATACCTATCCTGAGAGTCATTGTAAGGATTAGAAGTGACACATATGACATGCTTGGCACATGGTGGTCTCTTTTAAATAGAAAACAGATGAAGAATCCCTCCTCCATACCTATCTTTTCACTCCGTTTTGCCCCCAGTATTTGATTAATGCTGTGGACTGAACGTTTGTGTCCCCCACATTCACACATTGCAGCCCTAACCCCCAAGATGATGGTATTTGAAGGTGATGAGGTCATGAGGGTGGGGCCCCATGATGGAATTAGTGCCTTATAAAAGGAGACACGAAGGATGACCTCCATCTCTGCCATGTGAAGACACAGCAAGGAGAAGACTGTCTGCAAACCTCACTGACCCCTGACCAGGCAGCCTGATCTCAGACCTGCAGCCTCCAGAACAGTGAGAAATAACCATCTATTGTTTAAACCACCCAGTCTGTGGTATTCTGTTGTAGTAGCCCTAAGCTAAGACAATTAATATATAAATAAAATTAATTGGAAACATTTTTAGCACTTGTCATCTGCAGCTCTCTCCAATGGGATGGTCCTTCCTCACTTACTTCAGTAGACACTGAGCACAGTGATAAGCCAGGGAGGTGTAGAGAACATACCTTAAAAAATAAAAATTTAGAACAACTTTTAAGGCATTACAGCTTTCCTGCTCCATTTCATTTCCATATCCTAATACAGATGTGTCCAGAAACACCTCACAGCTCTCTGAAATCTACCTTCTATGTTTCTTCCAATTTGACCAGCCAGTCCCTACTCTGAAAAATCCAAACCAAAGCAAACCAACAAACAAAAATGAGCGCATACACCACACATAGAAGGAAATGCCCATCCTTGCTCAGGATCACTGCAGGGTATGTAACCACCCCCCGCCCAAGCTTTGGGGTAGTGGTCTGGCCTGGGTCCGTGAGACTGGAGTGCAGCACTCAGAGGGGCTGCTCCCTCTTCTTCTAGAAAGAAGAAAGCCCTCTAGGTTGTTTGCCACCCTGATGTGGGACAGTGAGAATGGACGGCTTCACTTAGCTCTAAACCCCTGCCCTGCACAGGAGCCCGAGGACTGTGAGAAGAGCTGAGGGCATTTACATTCCTGCTTTTAGCTTCACATTGGGTGCAAAATACCAAGTGGACAAAAGACTATCAATATATGCCAAGCTGTGAGGGAAGGTGCAGCTCACTTAGCTGCCTTGACATCGATTTTCACCTGCTTTTGTTGACGAAGCTGCATTCATAAGTAGTGATAAATCCATTAGACAAACATGACACTCCATTATTCACAGTGTCTACAGTGGCCAGGCATGGGCCCTGGATGTGGGGCTGATGCGATAAGGCTTTGTCTGGTGCAGGTGAACCTCAGTGAGCTGATGGGTGGACAAGTGCACAGAGCTTGCCCGAGACTGGCTGGTGAGTGGCGGAGGAGAAGGACGTCCAGGCACCTGGTGACCTCACGTTGCACTTACCTGGGTGGGGGCAGGTAGGTCTTGATTTGTATCTCACTTCTACTTAACTTTGGGACCTTGGACAAACTATTCAAGCTTTCTGAGCTTCTGTCCTCACCTGTCTTTGAGGCTTGGGGACTAAGGAATGCAGAGCAGATTGTCTTTTGCACTACCCTCTCCCCACCACAGCCACCCTGGGAGGTTGGCAGGATGACAAGCCCTCCCCTTTTTATAGACAGGGGATTCCTATTTAGGCTTCACCAAAGCAGCAGAGCCAAGACGAGAATGCAAGTACACAGAGTTTCTCATTCCAGTTCCAGGGTTGAACCCTCACGGCATGCTGCCTTTCTGCTCCTTATGTTGTGAAAATAATATTGCTATTTTGTCATTAGTTGAAATGGGGAGTTGGCTGACAAGCTTGAGCCACAGAGAATGCAGAAGGAGAGTTTGGGGTTGGCCAGAGGCACATATGCAGTGCACAGAATACCACATCCCTGGAGAGGGGTGTAGAGGTTAGGGGGCTCATTGACACAGTGACCACCAACTCAGCACAGATCTCCAGTGAGGTGATGCTGGGTTTTCAATGAGGAAAGTATGACAGGGTGACGGGACCCCTACATGGCTGGGAAGAGGGCCCAGGGACTCAGGGCTGGCCCCGGATCAGAATGAAAGAACAGCAGTGAGAAAGCTCCAATGTGTAGGTGCCAGGCACTGTGGGCACCTCCATCATCCTAGTGATACCTCACCTCTCTATATGAGAACCTGAGCTCAGGTGTGTCAGGAGGCAGCTAGAGCCCACAGAGCTGTCCAGGGTGGAGCTGGAGTTGGGGCTCAGCACTCTTCGCTCCCTGCTCCAGGGCAGAGGGAACAGGAGGCTGGAGTGAGTGGGCCCAAGACCCAGCCCAGGCAGGTGATTCTATGCTTCTCCTGCTGGGTCCCAGGAAGGCTCCAGAGAGCTGAGCAGGCTGGCACCTTGCTGCCTTCAAGGCTCAGAAGTGAGGGCAGGAGCTGGGTAGGAGTGAGGGATCATCACTGGACCAGTCAGCGAGGCTCCAGGAAGGCTCAGAACCTGGGAAAGCCTGGTTGCTCTGTGGGGACATGCCTCCAGGAAGCCCATGGCCCTGATTGCTCCATGTCCCTGAACCACATGGGGGCGTATACTGCATGACACGAATATGAACTTTCTCTGCCTTTTCTCCTCAGTTAGAGTTAGGTTAGCACTTGGGGACAGAGATTGCCTTATCTCTCCCCTGTCTCTGCCCAGCATGAGCCTCCGCTTAAATGCTGATGGCTGACTTGCCCATCTCAAGGGCATTTTAGCCCTGACTCTAACAAGAACTGCGAATAGGAACTTGATATAAGGATGAAAACAGTAGCAGGGAGAATATCACCGTCTCGTGACTTATTATGGACCATTCTCTCTAGACTTTTCACAAACTCTTAGTGACAATGATAGCCTAGCCATGATGAACACCCGGGACTCACCTATGTCTAGTTCCCCTCCCCTTCCTGAGCTATAGGAGAGCAACTTCCCAGCCTCCTTGCAGATGGGCAGGGCCTCATGGCTAGCTCTGACCGCTAAGATGTCAGCAAAGTGAGATGTGTCTTTCTGGGCTGCAGCTTTGCCCAGTCTGTGTCTCTCTTGGCCACAGCACCTGGGGAGCTTATGTGGGGAAGGCAGGACTGCTCTCACCTGATAGAGCATGGATTGCTGAGCCGCTGCCTGGGGGACAGCTGCCCTGAGAGCTGCTCGACTCACAGTGGCTCTGGTATAAGTGACAAACACACATTTGTTTCAGTAAGCCTCTGAGAATTTGGAGTCATTCATAATGGCAGCATTACCTAGCCCATCCTGACCAATATGATGTATAGGCTGCTGATTTCAAAGCAAAGAAAATGGAGACTTGGTGAGGTTAGGGGACTTGTCCAAGGTCACAGAGCTCACAGCCAGGCCATTTCTGATACAGAATAGCTGGGCTAGCTGATGAGTATCTGACAAGTCCTCCAGGGTCCCCTAGGCCTTCAAGCCCCTCTGTTCAAGTCACAGAGTATGTGCCAGGTGGGGAACTCCTCAGCCCACCCTGAACCCTCTTGAGTCCACAAAGGGCCTTGTGGACAGAACATGTTGTAGAAGCTAGTCGTCCTACCTGTATACCAGGGGAGGGCCTGGTAAGAGTGTGGCAATGCCCCTGTCTCCCATGTCCCCAGAAACTAGGCCGAGGTTTACCTGGCCAGGTCCTAATTGGCACATGGTAATTATGCCCTGAGAAGCCTGCCTGCTAATTGCTTTTGCTATTTCTGGACTCTGCCCCCTCCTGATCTGTCCTCCTGCAAGAGACAGAAATAACCTGACACTTGGAGGGTAATTATCACGGAGCACTTCCAGCATCAGCAGACGCTCTGCAGCAAGATTCAGGTCCCTGACTCAGCATGTGGGTTCCAGCCCAGGAACCATGGGGAAGTGCCTGACCACAGCTGGGGGAGCCCCCTGTCTCCCCTTTTCTCCTATAGTGAGTTTGACTCACTGAAGCCCACTCTTTCTCTGTTCTGTTGGTTTTACTTACACTTCATCCTCCTTTACCATGTCCCCAACTTATGGGGAGTGGCCCACAAAGACAGTTTCTGGGTCTAGGTTCCCCAAGCTACTGGTCCCCAACTGTGTCTCTCTTCTTTCTATGAGTCCCCACTAGCTATGCAGAGGCAATAGGAAAAGCCAATACAATGTGGTTAATATTTGCACTTCTACTGTTAGGAATGATTGAATGATTGTGATCATGGCCAGACCATGAGTATTTGGTGTTCAGGGAAAGGTGAGAGCCTTATGACTGTTTTTTGAACACAAACAGGAGCTCGGCTCAGAGACAAACAAGTAAAGCAAAGCCAATGTCTGGGCCTGTCTGGGGACTGTCTCTGCCTTCAGGAAATCTAGTGGGGACCCAATTATTATTCTAGTCTTTCCCCAAGTCTGCTCTGATGAATCTTGAGGCAAAAGTCTGAGGCCAGGTAAGAACAGAGAGCATGCAAGGTTACCTCCAGCATGTGTCCTCGGAACTAAATATCATCTGTCTGTCTCTTAGCCTCCACCTGAATCAGAGAGCTCACCGGGAAGACATTAGTGCATGGCCAGTCCCCTCACTGATTTAAACAGACCAGATAAAGCCAGTCTGTCGTTTAAAGCTGAGGGTCCTCTTCTCTTCTGGTGGGTCATTTTGCCCTTTGGAAATGGCAGGTACTTCCTCTCAAACCTGCTTAAATCAGGCCATCAGTGGGGACCAGAGTTGGGAGGGGATTGGAAGTTTTTCTTCCTAGGAAGACAGTAATTGCAATTTTGTCACCAGTGATGACATGTGGTAAGCAATTAATTTTGGGGGACTCCCTGCCTGTCACCATGCATGACTCCTACCCTGAGAAACCCCCCTTCTTAGAAGGCTCACATCCTCCCTTTCAGAAGACGAGCTAATTTATTGTACACCTAGTTCCCTGGGGGCAGTGGAAGGTCTTGGAGCTGATGAGTAAGCATCCCGAGGGTCCCGGTTCGGTGACATTGCCGTGTGTGGCTAGGAGAAGAGAGGCAGAGAGAATGCTAGCAAGGGCTAACACCTGAACAGAGACAAGTGTGCTTCCAAATGTAGAGTAATTACAACACCCCTTGGGGGAAGGGGTTATTATTATTATTCCCATCATAGAGATGGGGAAAGTGAAGAGAGATTAATCAGCTGCGCCAAGGGCATACAGCCCCAAATGGCAGAGCAGGATTCAAATCCAGCCAGTCCTAAACAGGCACTGCATGGCCTTCCCCCGGGTACCACAAAGAGCAGCTGGGAGGGAGCGTATTGGGATCAGGCAGCCCAGTTCAAATCCAGCATCACCATCACCATCTGTGCATCCTTGGGCAAGTTATTTGTCTGTTAAGCCTCAGTTTTCTTATCTGTGAAGCAAGGACAGTGGTACCCACTTCAAAAGATTGTTGTGAGGGTTAAATGATAGAACACCATGCTACCTGCTGCCTCCTCGGGTTCTGCTCTGCTCCCCAGGGCCCGCGCCTGCCTCTCACCTGTGAGTGGTGTGGTGAGGCTTCACGGTTATTTTCCCAGCGTCCCACTGGGTAACTGCTGCTTGCTCAGTTGTTGTCTAGAGCAGTGCTGACTTCTGAGGCTGAAGGACAAAGTTGAGAACTGAACACCCTGGAGATTTGGAACCCAAATTTGTTATTACATTCTTAGCAGCCGTCACGGTGCTCATGTCAGCAGCTTGGTCTCCTGCTCAAGGCCTTGAGTTCTGAGTGTTCACGGGCTCAGTTGCCCTTCGGCAGGGGTTGCCAGGGCAGGCTTGGCAGGGTTGTGATGTGGCTCTCTGTATCAGCAGCGGTCTGCACCCCACTGGAGAGAGCAAGTAGTCCAGACAGAGGCTGGAAAATGCTTTATGTGTTGGGTTTGAGGAAGATTTACCTCCCTCATTATGATTGTTTCAAGCTCATATTAAAGTAAGTTATGAGCCTTTGAAAAAATAGCCCAGGGCTGAATGAGGAGCAATGCATGGGGCACAGCTTGGGACCCAGCCCTGCCTGGGGGTGCACCATGGTTACTGTGCATTAGCCACTCTACCTCTCTGGGCCTCAGTTTCTCCAGTTGCGCAGC